TTCTCTTTTTCACTCCTGTAAAACAAAAGGTGATAAGAGAAACTGTGTTGCGTCTCACCCTAAGCTCTTTCTAACGGATGGGTTCATCACATATGATCACAGAATGATGGCACCATTACACAACTGCCAAACCATCGAGAGTCATGGCTCAGCACATGGTCCCCCAAAGTTGACACATGTTTTTGGGGGACGCAATTCAACTTACAAATCTATAGTGAAGAGTTCCACAAGTTTTTCATGGGAAAAGTGTTCACTGCAAATTAGCAAGCAGTCACACCTAAATCTGTGATTACCGGCCTTATCGGATCATCTGCACCTGGATACATGAATCCCACTCACAGTTTTCAGTGAAGTTGCTTTTTTAAAAGGGGCAGAGACAGTTAGCATAGACCAGATAGGGAGGGTTAGCAAATATATTGACAGTAATCTGATCTACCTCAGTGTTTATGGGAGGGTTATAACTGTGACCTCTGTCTGCTCTGTAGTTTCACCCAGAAATAAATCAGATCCTGAGAATTCATCCCAACACATTCATTAACCACTGGTTATAACCAGAATACCTGTTTGATATCTGCTATAATAGAGTCATCTATCCTGGGTGGTGGATTAGTCGTAGGTTTTACACGGAGCTGCTAAGTTCAAGGTCAGCAGTTCAAACCTACCAGCCACTCTACAGGAGAAAGATGAGGCATTCTGCTTCCATAAGAAGTATCCCTGGTGTGTAGTTATAGTGGTTACCTGTTGTGATGAGATCCAGAAGGCCCACACTTCGAAACCACCTGCTACTCCTCAGGAGAAAGATGGGGCCTTCTACTCCGATAAACAGTTACAGTCCTGGGAAATCAAAGGGGCAGTTCTATCCTAACTAGAGGGTCACTGTGAGTTGACATCGATCCCACAAGACAGTTCTACTCTGGCCCATTGGGGCCCTATGAGTTGGAATCGACTTGAGGGAAGCGAGTTTTGGTTTTGTGGGGACCATGAGTACTCACCGTAAGAACCTTTGGGCGGCTGATTTATTTAAAAGCTGATAAATAAAACTAAGCTAAAAACAAAAGCAGAAGTGGGTGTTACCAAATGACTGTTTCTATGTGGGAAAGACGGAGGGTTTTCTATTCTCCTTTTGGTACTCTTACTGCCCAGAGTCTCAGAACGAACTAGAATCATGGCGGATGACCGGAGACCACTGGCAGATGCTTGCTCTTCTTTCATAGATGCATTACTTACTAACAGCTAATTATGTCATCTCATGGCTCTGTTATAATTATTGCTTGTAATGAGAAGCTTTAGAATCATAATTAAAATCTTTAAATCAAAGTGGACATAGATTTAAAAATTCTAGCAATTTGGGTTAATTTTTGCTGGCTTTGGAGTCAAAGTCTTAACTTACCTTCCTGACCTGGGATTTTGAAGGTGCATGCATTATAATAAATTAATTTGCTGCCTTTCCCAGAATCAATTTTGAAAATGAATTTATAATTAAAGGGTGGTTATTTATGCACTGGGTTATGCACTAACTGTGAGGTTAGTAGCTTGAAATCACGAGGAGCCCCACAGGAGAAAGATGAGGCTTTCTACTCCTATACTAATTGACAGATGAGCTAGGGCTCACGAGGGTGGGAGGGTGGGGGAAGGAGGGGATAAAAGAGGAAATGATACCAGGGGCTCAAGTAGAAAGAAAATGGTTTGAAAATGATGATGGCTCATTGTGAATGAGGGGGAGTGTGGAGTGGGGAACCAAAGCCCATCTGTAGGCAACTCAACAACCCCTTACAGAAGGTTCACGGGGAGGAGACGAGCCAGTCAGGGTGCAGTGTACTAATGATGAAACATACAACTTTCTTCTAGTTCTTTAATGCTTCCTCCCCGACCACTATCATGATCTCAGTTTTACCTTACAAATCCAGCTAGACCAGAGGATGTACACTGGTACAGATAGGAACTGGAAACACAGGGAATCCAGGACAGATGATCCCTTCTGGACCAGTAGTGAGAGTGGTGATACCAGGAGGGTGATGGGGAAGGTGGAGCAGAAAGGGGGAACCGATAACAAGGATCTGTGTATAACCCCTTCCCTTGGGGATGGACAACAGAAAAGTGGGTGAAGGGAGATGTCAGACAGTGTAAGGCATGAAAATATAATAATAATTTATAAATTATATCAAGGGTTCATGAGGAGGGGGTGGAGAGGGAGGGGAAAATGAGGAACTCATACCAAGGGCTCGAGGAGAAAGCAAATGTTTTGAGAATGATGAGGGCAACAAATGCAAAGTGCTTGACACAATGTATGTATGTGTGGATTGTAATAAGAGTTGTACGAGCCCCCCAAAAAATGATTAAAAAAAAAAAGAAAATGATGGCAACATATGTAAAAGTGTTCTTGATACAAATAATTTATGGATTGTTATAAGATCTGTAAGGTCCCAAATAAAATGATTAATAATAAAAAAGAAAATAACTGGGGTAAAAAAAGAGTTACAGACTGAGAAACCCACAGGGTCAGTTCTACCTTGCCCTATAGTGTTGCCATGATTTGATGGCAGTTAGTTTTTTTTGTTTTTAATTCTCAAAAAAAACATTTTTTTTTGCTTAGCTTTGTCACTTGTTGAGTAATTGAATACAATGAGAGTTTATTTTTTAACTGTCTACATTGACAAGACAGAAGGAAAGAAAAGATTATATTTTTAAAATAAATGGCAGCAAAGCACAAAAAGGGAAGAAAAACTCAGGTCTTTTTCAAACCTGTTTATTATTGATAGCAACATCTGCTACCCGTGGCACACACACACAATGAAACTATTAGTCAACCTTCCTTCAGAGTGCCAGTGCCCAAACCCTAAATACAGCACAAGCAACTGAGGGACACTGGAAGAAAGAATCCAGGGACAGCCGGCATCCCTCTAACTAATGGTATAATGTATTACCCCTGATGGCACTGGTGGCTTAGTGGTGGCATGTTGTGCTGTCCGCAAAGTCAGCAGTTCAAGACCACCAGGCACTCACTGGGAGAAAGATGGGACTTTCCACTCCTGTATAAAGGTAGAGTCTCAGCAGTCCACAGGGGGCTGCTCTACCCTGCTCTTTAGGGTTGATGTGAATCAGGATCTACTTGATGGTGGTGAGGTTCGTTTTGGGGTTTTTTTGGTGGCACTGTCGGGTATGTGTTGGACTTCTAACCACATGGTCAGTGGTTCAAACCCACCAGTCATGATGGGTTAAAACCCACAGAAGAAAGATGAACTTATCTGCTACGGGAAAATTTACAAAGTCTCGGGAACCTTAGGTAGGATCTCTGTGAATCAGGATCCGCTTGATGGCAGTGATTTTATGTTGGGGCCCGGGGGGTGAGGGACGGATACTCAGCAATTGAAGACTGTGATATGTGGAAATATGGGGAGAACATCTCTAGCAACCATCCTTCATTGAGAAGTTCTACAGCTAGCAGTAAATACAGTATGTTTCTATTGTGTAAGAAAACAAATTCTTCTCTGTGTAGGGATGTCTGTGGGCGCATACAGTTGTGCGTGCTATGTAAAGAAATGTTCTCACGTTGTGAAAGCAACTTTCTCTAAGGGAAACCAACAAGGAGTTCGTGTGGGGAAGATCATTTCTGTTTTAAAGACTTTTTTTCTGAGTGGGGGAAATTTTTTTTTTGGTTTAGCATATATACATCTTTTAAATAGACTTGTTTTAACATGGAATTTCCATATCTTAAAATCCACTCACAATGTTTTAGTAGCTAGGTCTCCTGTCCTGGCCTAAGACTTTAAGGACGCCGATGATTATGAAAGATAGCGGGCCTCACAGAGCACCTCAAGAAGAAGGAGGTTATAGCAGCTGCATTGCGCTCCTGGGTACCTGCGCCCTGCCCATGCAGCCCTTAGGAACTACGGGCAAAAATGATTTCTCCCAGCACTGTTGCAGGTTTTGATCCTTAGAATTCCCTCCTGGCGAATTTTGCATGTAAAACAATGGAATGTCTGTGGTTTATAACTATAAAATAAAATGATCGTGCAAGACATGTATGATTTTAGTCATTTACTTAATAGAAATGTAAATGTGGATAGATGAAAACCCACTGCCATGGGTTAGTTCTGACTTAGAGCAGGCTTGTTTAGAGTTTCTGTGATAGGAGCTGAGGAGAAAGCCCAACCTTCTCCTATGGTGCAGCTGGGGGGTTTGTACTGCTGACCCTGTAACTAGCAGTCTGATACCTAACCTTCAGCACCACCGGGTTCCTTTATCAATGGGGACATAAGGATACTCCTTATAGTTATTTGTTTATATCTTTTAATATTCCTTTAATTGGGCTTCACAACTGACCTTGCATCTAATTAGAATATAGTTCATCACCTGTCCATTCTTTTCTTTGGATAATCTGGGAGGGCCTTCAAACTAAAGGGAATGATCTCTTCCCGGTTTTCTTTGGAAAACACCTGGGTAGTAGTATTTTCTAGCCCCCATTCACTCTGTCATTGAGAATGCGTCCCCCAAGTCAGTGTGGTGCGTCTTTAACAGCCCCCGCCCCCCAATCACTGTCCAGTTTATCTGCGTGCCTCTATAGCCAAACTAGAAGTGAATCAGAGCAAGACCGCCAAGGGTGTGGCACCAGTTCCCTTTGTGGTTCTGCCCTAGACCCCACCCTGGTGCCCAGCGGCCCCGGGGGTGCAGTAGCACCGCCCCACGGTGTGCTCAAGGCTGGGCCTTTAGTAAGCTCCTTGCCAGGCCTGTCTTCCCAGGTGCCTTGCGGTGGGCTTGACACACAGCCTTTGGGCGAGTCGCCAAGCCCGTCCCTGTTTGTGTCCCCGGAGCTTGTTACCACTACACTTCACCTATCTTCCCCTGTCCGCGCTCCTTGCGGTCCTCGTCTGCTAGTTCCTGGAAAGTGTGCCATGCCTGTCTTCTTACAGCCTCACTGACCCAGCCGGTGATTTTTGTCCAGGTGGGAGAGCGCCATCGCCTGGCTGAGAACTGACTGGGCGGCTTTCTTGTTGCAGGCTGGTCCCATTCCGGTGCACGCCATGTCCAGTTTCGAAGATGCCGACACTGAAGAGACGCTAACGTGCCTCCAGATCACGCTTTACCATCCCGACCGGTTGCAAGCAGGGAGGTTTCAATCCCTCAGGTTTTGCCACCGCGAGAAACTGCCCTCCCACAAAGTGGTCAACTTTGGCCGACATTCCAGCAGCTGCCACTACGTCTTTCAAGACAAGCAGGTTTCCAGAATTCAGTTTTCTCTGCAGCTGTTCAGAGATTTCAGCAGCTCCGTTCTCTCCGTTGAGATTAAGAACATGAGTCAGAAGACCAGCCTGTTCGTGGACAACCACGAGCTGGGCTACCTGAATAAAGTGAAACTGCCCCCAAAGTGTATCCTCCGATTCGGCGATTACCAGTGCCTGGTCGAGAAGGAAGATGGGGAGTCGTTGACATTTTTCGAGACTCAATTTGCTTGGTCTCCAACGTCCCTCTTAGAAGAAAACCTCAGGCCGCTGCGCACGCCTGTGCCGGAGAATGGCTCCCATTCAACCCTCGGGAGCACTTTGCCTACAGAAATGGATGAAAATGAATTATAAACGAGGGGGGCAAAGCAGAGAATCGGGGACGCTGAGCAGCCCGACGGGCCCTTTGTAGCCGTTGCCCTTATTCAGAGTGTATTAGCGTAGGAAGTAAAGCCTCACATCTCCTGTGACCCGGGCAGGTTTAGGATTCGGCAGGTCATTTTGAAGTCCGCATTGTGTTAGCAACAAAGTCATTCCAGCATCTGCGCAGAATGACTTTCATTGTACATCTGTGAGGGCTCGTGTACAGAAGACCCTGCGTGACAAAGGAATTGTGTTCTCCAAACCACCCCACTGCCATCATGCCGACCCTGGCTCGTGGCGGCCCTGGAGAAGGTTTTTGAGGAGGTAAATCTTGACCGGAGCTGCAGCCTCCTCTTTCTCGCCCAAAGTGGTTGGTGGGTTTGAAGCGCTGACCTGGCCGTTAGCGGTCCAGCGCTTCCCCAACAGCGTTCACAAAACAAAGTTTTACGGTTTGGGTTTGGGCCTTGATGACAGTTCGGTGCTGTGTTTTGTTGGGAAGGAACGATCCCTTGTTTCGGTCATGTCATTTCACACCAGCCCATGGTTCTCATTGTCAGGGTTCTAAGCACACGATTCTTCATGGCGTCTGCAGCCCGCTGGTTCCAGAAGTGACACGGTGCTGGGTGGAACGCAGGGCGGTACATCCTGAACCGTGGTCTGTGTTACTGTGGTTTTCATATGGAAAGAATTCTCTGACAAATAATATTTTGAATCTTTTGTAGTTGTCTTTTTAAGGGCTAATAGAGTGGTCCCCCCCCCCCCCCAGGATGACAGTCCTGATATAAATCCAGCCTCAAAAAGGCTTAGACATGTAAATATCTTAAAGAACTACTGGGCTTTATATTTAGAATGAGTTTTTAAAATAATTTTCCTCCCAGAGTTTGAGTTTGTACAAAACCGAATTTTTTAATTCCGTGAATGTTGTTTCTAACAGCATCGAGAGAGTCATTCCCTAATCATTTTCTGTGGCACGGTTTCTGCCGAAAGGAAAGAAGGGCTGTGTCGTGTGAACGTTTACAGTAAAGATTTCTAATACAAAGTTTGTTTTCACGAAAGTGCTCATTCTTTAAACGATTCTCACCCAATTGTTGTAACTGGTCATTTGAAAACAGGACGCCCGTTGTCGTGGAGTTGACTGACTCATGCCAGCCCGTGAGGGTCACATCCACCTGTCCTCTAGGGTTTTCAAGGGCCGATTTCCCTGCAGTAGACAGCACTCTCCTCTGAGCTTCCCCAGAGTGGACTTGAACCACTGACTTTTGGTTCACAGCCAATCATGTCTACTGTGGGTGCGTTGCAGCCCAGAGCGTAACCACCACGCCACCAGTAGAGGGCATATTAATTGGTGCCACTGTTAGTCCTGGGCTGCTTTAAAAATTTTTTTTAGCTGCAACATAGTAACCTGGTTATGTTTCCCAATGGTGAGAGCTCATACGCCATATGATTACATATAACAATTTTCTAGAAAATTCTGTTTCCCCGATCGAATAGATTTGACTGAAATTGGGAGAAATGCTACTTGTAGGCTCCAACTGTAGCATGAGGGGTGCAGTTTGTAGGAATGAGGGTGGGTTAGGGCACGTGTTCACTTAAGTTTGATATTTAAAAAAACACATATATAGGTATAGAAGTATATATGCCATAATTCTACTGCCAAGAGGTAACTAGTACTACTGTTGTGTTTTGTGTGTGAATGGACATTCATGCTAGCAGTCACTGTGGGGCTTGTGACTTGGAAAACAGGTATGTTTTCCTCTCTAGAGCTAAAAGGGTAGGGCGGAAGGTGGAGCAGTCCTGCCGGGGATAATAAGCCTGCTGAGCCATATGGAGACACACCAGGAGTGAGTGACACGACTACACCTCTGCTTTATGCTGCTTGTGGGCAGTGGCAGTTGGAAGTGAGACCTAGTTGCTTTGGGCTCAACCAGCATCTGAGACCTGAGGCAGTGTTTGTGGTACACATAGGTGCACACGTGAAGCAAGACCCAAAGATGCAGTATGCCTGCCCCAAAGTTGACCTAGGTTCCTTATGGATGCAATTGTGTTCCCCCCGCCGCCCCCCCACCCCCATGCATTAAGTTGCCTAGGCCATGATTCTCAGCATTATCTTCTATTTTGTGATATGATGTAATTGTCCTATGTGTTGTAAATCCTAACCTCTCTGATGTTAATGAGGCAGGATTAGTGGCAGGTTAATCAGACAGGATGCAGTCTACAGGTTTAGGCTCTATCTTGAGTCAGTCTTTTTTGAGATATAAAAGAGAGTAAACAAGCAAGGAGGGATAAGAGAAAGAAAAGTCATGAGTGGAGCTTGGCCTTGGACCCAGAGTACATGCGAAGATGGAGGAGAAAGGGCTTCCCCAAGAGCCAGTAGAAAGAAAGCCTTGTGCCTTGAATTCAGATTTAGAATCTTCTAAACTGGGAGAATAAAAGCCTGTTTGGTGGTCTTTCTGTCCCAGCAGCATTCGGTAAACACGACGTTTCTATTCACCAAAGTTCCAATAACAAAGCCACACACGCTTGTCCAAACCCTTAAACACACACCAGCCACATGTAGCTACGACACAGATAATTCACGTCATACAAGTTCAGTGGTTCAAACATATTAAGCATAGTTGTGCCATCATCACAAATTTCAGAACATTTTCTTTATTGCACTCATTGTTTACTCTCTATTCCCCACCCCCACCTCTGCTGCCACACCCCTAGGAAATGATTAATCTAGTTACTGTCTTTATAGATATACTTATTCTGGATTTCATCTACAAACATACAAAAGCAAGAAACAAACCCAACAACATTGACAAAATAAAACAGAAAAAGCCTCAATTGAGTTAAAAGGGAGATCAAATGGTAAGGTACAATGAACCTAACTTGGTTGTTGGTTGTGAGGCACAGCAACATGATGTACAAAGAACCAAACACTGCTGGGTCCTGTGCCATCCTCCCAACTGCCCTGTAGGGTTGGGCTGATGGGTGCAGCCCCTGTGTGAATCCGTCTTGTGGAGGGTGCCTTCTTTGCTAGCACCATTATTCAAATGTGTCGATTCTTCTCTGGTCTTCCTTATTTATTGGCCAGCTTTTATAACATTCGAAACAAATGAAAATATTTTAGTTCCTTACAGAGAGGACTAAGTAAGAATTATCAACTGAAAGTTCATGTGATTTAAGTGCTTGTGACCCACTGAAGCTTGTTAGGGTTTCCTTGCAAGTAGAGATTCCCTTCTGTTCCATGCTGCAAATTCAGCATTTCACCAAACCGAAACCAGACTTCCCGCATCCAGGTCGATGCTGATTTACAGTGTCTCTAGAGGGCAGGGAAGACTGCCCCTGAGTTTCTGGGACTGTCACTAACAGTTCCCAGGAGCAGACAGCCCCAGCTGTCTCCCAAGGAGCAGCTGGTGGTTTCGAACTGCTTATATAATTTTCCATATTAGCATCGTTGAGTGCAATTGTGATAGAATTCATGTGTTGCAGGTGGGTGACTCAGTTTGTTTTGTGGCCAGCCTTCGTCCTTCTCTCCCGAGAGGCTTGTTTGCTATGATGCTGAACAGGTTTCTGAGGAGCTTCCAGACTACGATGGACTAGACAGAAAGGCTCGGAGATTTACAGGGGCCAAATTCAGCCACTGAAAACTCTCTAGATCACAACAAAGCTGCAACCCTCATGGGGATGGTGGAGCAAGGGCCGGTGTTTCATTCAGTTGTGCATGGAGTTGCCATGAGTTGGTGGTCAACTGCATGTTGGCCAACACCAGTCTTAAATGGCCTAGTATAATTCAATCATGTGATGCATTTGTAAAATAGGCTATGTTTTTTGTAGTCTTAAAGTCCCAAAGTGGAGTAAAGCCTTAAGCAGTTGAGCGGTGCACATGTTAAACAGAAAGCAGTGATGGGCTACTTGAGTCAACCCCAGGACTCCAGGATGCCACATAGCTATGTCTGCCTAGAAGCTCCCAAGTCCTTCCTCTGCAGAGTTTAAAGGAAAGGCACCTTCAGGTTTAGGTGAAGCTGAGGGGAGCGAATGGCGGAAGGCAGTCACCACTCAGTTGGACCCAGCAGAGTTTGGAGACAGAAGGAAGACCTATTTGCATCTCAAACCTGACATCGACTATCTTGAATGAGAAGATAACCTGTAAATGTCCAGGAATAGCAATCACTGTCTGCTGGTCTGCCCTGCTCTGATGGTTTGTCTGTTGCTAGCATGTGGGAAGCTATGCTATTGGTATTTCCAATGCCAGCGGGGTAAAACAAACCACAGTGGACACGTTTTAATGCTATTAAATGTCCCTATGAAGAAAGGCCTCGATGATTGAGTTAGTTAATTGTGCCAGCCTGGCCGATAATCACATGTGGTGCTGGTTGAAAGGCGGAGGGATAAATGGGTGGTGAAGCCTCCCCTTTCTAGTTCTCCGGTCTCTTGTTTTGTGATGGTTGCATTGGGTGCAGCTGCCTTAGCAGTTCCCTGCTTCAGCTTGCAAGATTGATTTCCTCCAAGACATCCCCAAGGAGAAGCCGCATGGATCTATCCCGATGCAGCCCTGGGTGCTGGAGCAGCCGTGTGGAGACCCGTGCCAGTGCTGAGATGCTTACACGTTCACGGACTCAGCTTTCCTCCTGCAGTCGGCATTATTGCCTCTGTTTTGTGAGGTGGATGACTTTGTGGACTGGTGTTGGGTATGGGTTAATGTTGGACTTGTGGGCTTGGGCAGCATTGGGTTGGGGTGTTTTTGTGATGCACAGTTTCTTTGCATAAAACTCTCTCTTTATCTATGAGTTGCTGTGCATTTGTTTCTCCAAAGTACCTAAACTAATACAATGATGTTTCCAAGATTTAGTCAGTGAGAACCTCTGGACCACAAGTATTGTATGATGCAGTGTTGGAACATAAGCCCCTGAGGTTGGAGGCTCTCCAAACACACAGTGACCCCCACACTGGATTCCAACATCCCGATGGGCCTGACGCTGCTGCGGGACTGGGCAATGTGACATCCTGGCGGACACGGGGCCCCAGGAGTGAGGGCCGACTGGATGGCAACCAACGATAAGAACCAGCAGCAGGCCTGGTCCTAGATGCCGCGAGTGGAGTTGAACTCCTGCTACGCAGGGTGTCTTCATGACCACCTGCCTGGAGGTCAGGAAAGAAGAGGAAGCAATGCTGTTTCCCAATAGCTCCCAAGAGTTCTCACTCACTGCCACTGAATTGATTGACTCACAGTGACCCTGGAGGGCAGAGTGGACCTGGTTGAACAGGTTTCTGAGACTGTATCTCTTTATGGGAGTAGAAAGCTTCATCTTTCTCCCAAGCAGCTCCTGGCCGTTTCGAATGGCTGAATTTGGTGTTATACCGCCAGGGCTCTTGAGTTAGCTCCCTCGTTGTCAGCAAGTTGATGGCAACTCAGAGAGACCCTATAGGACAGGTAGAACTGCCCCTGTGAGTTTGCAAGACAGTGACTCTCTACTAGAGTAGAAAGCCCCGTCTTTCTTCCAGAACAATCTGGTGGTTTCAAACTGCTGACCTTATGGTTAGCAGCCCAACGTGTAACCACTATACCACCAGGGCTCCAACCAGAAGAGTTAACAGCAGGAAATTCCCTGCTTCCTACCTTGCACCGAACTAGCAGAGGGAACACCTATGCTCAAATTAGTTGCGGGTCAAAAGTAATAAAAATGTCAACAGTTTGTTTCTAAGCTTTTGGGGCCACTCAGTTTGGCACAGTGGTCCTGTCACCGAGGTGGCACAATCTGAGTG